AGAGGTTTTTTTTGGACTCTTTGAGGTTTTTACTGCCAATTCAGGTAAAACTTGTATTTTTTTAAAAAAATAGGACTGCATTTGGCATATTTTACCAAAACAGCATGTAAAAGTTTTCTAGATGCAGCAACACAGAGACTTCATGAGCAATACAATGTTCTCTGCCAGAGGAGTGGGCTCATAAATTCACACAGGAGAGAAACAACATGGATCTCAAAGGAGATCCTTACTGTGTTGCTAATGGACTTTAAATGTTACTTCCTAGAGTTTACTCTTTGTCTCCCAGAACCCACATTGCCAAGGAGGAGTAATGGATAACCCTCTGTACAATCATAACTGAGAACAACTATAACAACATCTTGATAAAATATAGGCATATAGGGAATTATGTTTAATTAATCTCATTGTGATATTTTATTATTGTTATCCACCTCAATCCTTCGGAGAGAGGTGGGCAATAAATATATTATTATTATTATTATTATTATTATTATTCAACTGCAACATCATCATTTTCTTTCTTGTTTGATTGTTAACACTTTTGCCTGATGAAGAAGCCAGTTGAGCTTCAAAAGCTAGCATCATGTGTTGGCTAATGAAGACATCACTGTTTAGTGGATTTTGGATATTATTGTATTTATTCATAGTTGTGAAGTGCCCTTTTTCTATGGTCCATTCAAAAGTGTTCTTTTCTCACCTAACTGCATCACAGTGTCAGTATCTTCTGAAAATAAACAAGAGATTACTGTGATCTTTCATTTCTAGGATGTGCCTGAATTTATATAATATAATATATATGGATTATTATATAATAATAATCCACCCAAGAGCATAACTGTTTAACATGTGCTAAACAAACACATTACATCCTGTCTCTTGTCATGTTTGTTGTTGACATAATATGCCTTCAACTTATTTGTTATGTCGACCCTATCACTGGGGCTGAGAGAGTGTGATTCACCTAAAATCACCCAGTAGGTTCCCGTGTGTGTATGTTGTGTTGTTTACTTTCATGGTCATGATCTCTGGAGTCATAGTTCTACATTCATACCACTACACCACATTTGCCAAGTTGCTATGGAGCAAAGATTGTGTATTACTGTACAAGTCAGAGATCATTAACAAGTTGCTTTAACCCAGGGATCAGATTCATGAGGCCCTCCAATTGTTGTTGGACTGCAGCTCCAGATTCTTGCAGTCCAGCAACATTTGGAGACTCACAGGGCTGATGGTTTTGGAAGATATTGGAAGTAAATGTCCTGTAAATATAACTTCAGATATTGGAAGTAAATGTCCTGTAAATATTAAAGGTGATGTCCAGCCGCCAAAGAACATATGGAA